GGGTACAAAAAAGAATTTTAATCTGATTTAGTTGTAGAGAGAAAATATCATTTCCTTTCAGTGAGTAATGATCTCAAGATGATATATAATTCCTTATCAGGTGAATTGGATGTGAACAAATCATATTAGATGTATGAAGGTGAAAAGATGAATAAAAATGAAAACATTTAGACTTAGCTCTGCTTTGAATGCCAAAGACTAAAACAACTGGAATATTTTGTTTTATCGCAAGTGGATAATTGCATGTTTGCCTAGTACAATGCTACAGGTACCACCCATTATTATTACAGCCATCTTTAAGTAAGGAACAAAATAAAATCATTCTATTTCAATTGCAGGTACTCAGATCTATAATAACATGAGTCTCTGTTCTGTGCTTTGTGCCCCATTACTTCCATTCATAAGGTCCAAACTCCTCCAGAATGGGGCCTGAACATAATCCATATCTTCTCAGCTCTTTTCTGAGCTCTGCTTGGAAGATGTCCTCTCCAACTCTCTCTCCTTTCCCTTCTTTATTCCCTCTCAAAACCCTCCCATCTTTCAAGGTCAAACTCAAAAGTATCAAGCTCCATCCTACTCTGAGAATGGGTTTCCAGTTCTTGGGGCCAGCAACACTTTAATTCAGTCTTAAAGAATGAGTTAGAATCACTCGAGGTGCAAGTGGGAATGGGGAGGGGACGGAGGAGGTGTAGGGCATTAGCGTTCTTTGTTGGCAGAATGGAGAAATGAGTTAAGGAACAGAATAGAGAAACCACCTGATATATGTCAGCAAACTACCAACAGATTACTACTGGCATCAATTCTGACCAAAAGTGGTGGAAAATGAAGCTAGAAAGGAAGTCAAATATCACATCAAAAAGGGTCTGTATTCCATTAAAAATTTTATACTTTGGTAGGTGGTGCTCCTTAAGCATGTCGCAAAGAAAAATAGCACAGTTAGATTTGCAATTTGATATGCACTTGAAGCCTGCTGATCATGGCCCTAATCTGCCTTACAGTTTTGATTTCCATTCTCTAGTATGAGGTCACCAAACTCTCGTCGGATGTCACTACTGGCTCTTTCATGAACATAACCTATACCTTTCCTGCTTGATGATCTCATTTTGGAAAGACAAGTCCCACTTCATTTATCATGTGCAAAAATACAAATAACATTCTTCCAAGGTTGGTTGTGAGCATTAATGAGCTAATACATGAAAGCATCCAGTTTACTGTTTGTCACTTAGTAGACATACAATATTTTTCCTTCCTTCTCACAGTTTACCTAAATCTACTTCAAATTACAATTATATGTATCCCTTCTACAAGATCGCGAATTTCTTAAGGCTAGGACTAGATCTAAAACAGTGGCTCTAACTGGATGCAATTTTGCCCTTTAAGGGACATACGGCAATGTTTGGAAACATTTTTGGTTGCCTCAGTTGTTGACTGTCTTCTTGATTGTAGGATGTTACTGTTTAAACAACCTACAACACATAACAACCCCCACAAAAAAGAATTACCCAATCCAAAATGTCAATGGTACTGAGATTTAGAAACACTGGTTTATTTCATCTTTGTAGCCTTGGGAGCAATTAGCAGAGTTGCACATTATAGGAGGCATTCAGACTTGTTAGAAATTATTTGAAACCCCTTTTCTGCAGGTAAATTTTATAAATTGCTGTTGGGGAGTTAAAATTAAATTAAAAATGTATATGGTGTAGGAAAATTGAAAGATAGTAGGGTTTATGAATTTTGATTAATTTGGGGGAAACAAATTTCCATTTGTATTTAAAGATGACCAAATTAAAAGCTAAAGTTCTCTTAATCAGCAAGGTTGTGTAACAAATTGCAGCA